TATACAAAAAAGAATCGCGCGCGTTCAGTCGCGCGGCAAGTCTAGTGGAAGTTGGATACAATTCCTCTTTGTAATATGGATCCTTTTTGTTATATAAATAGAACCGGATATGAAAATAACTGCACTATTTTAGTGCCTTTGTTTAGGTATCAATATTGAATTACTAATTGAATGATTTTAGATCTTTTTTAGTTGATTGACCGAGGCTATCACTACTATTCGCGTACTAGGCGACTATCACGTGCATTTGCTTTATTAGTGTTTGAAAGACGAATACAATATTTTGTTACAAGTAATTAATATATCCAAAATTGACAATACTTTTTGATGGAAATATCCGTTAAAGTAAGATGAGAAAATGCATTAAAAAACCTAAAGAAAATTATGTTTACTGGAATAACATTAGTAAAATAATTACCGCTAGAAAGACAAAAAGACTTACGTGTTACATGAAGTCTTACAGCAGCACATTGTAATTGATTAATTTCGAAAACACACGAACAATATTGTATATTATGTATAATACATTTTATCAAAAAAAAATTATAACCTGATGATAATAACAGTCTTAAAACCTCTTGAGCAATAATTCCCACTTCGTTTTAGACTGGGAACACTCTAGTTCTAGTTAAATTACGTAACATAGCACAGAACATATTGTAATTAACTAAACAGTAAGTACAATTAGCATCGACTCAGCAACAACTTTCTTTTTACGCCCGCCTTAAATTACGTACCGCCATTTTTGAAAAAGACAAAGGTAACATGTACGATACAGCCAAGTTTCTAAAAAATTGTTTCATGTTTGTTTTACAGATTATGTAAGAAAGATGTCTCAATTGTGATTTAAATACCTACATATTTGTCTATTTATTTCATAAAGTAACCTAAAAATAATATTATCAATAATTTAAATCAGTATTGTGTTCTTTTAACGTAAACATAATTGCGATTTTCGTGTATTTTAAGTTTAAGACAAAATCGTTTAAATTAATTATCTGTCGATAGTACTTGTATTTCTGAATTTTCAAGTTTTTTAATAATACCTTACTTTATTTATTATATTGTACCCACATACCTTGTCTACTTCGGAGACTCGAAGGATGATCTTCAGTCTGGGATTGCTTTTCCTGTACTCTCTCAGCAAGTTGTCCAGCTTTTCACCTCGCGCGTCGCCCGCGTACACGAGGTGTGTGCACTCGGAAAATTCAGACGCATGCGTACTTTCCACGTAGCATAAGAGACGCGCTGCGCCCGCGCCGGCGCCCTCCGCGTGCAGCGCCGCGCCCGCTACCACGCATAAAAAAAGTAACCACATTGTTTTTGCCTTTTTATTTTTTTAATTAAAAAAATCAATATGTCATCGTCCGTTCGCGTTCGATTTTCGAATTCGTATTTAAAATGTTTGGAAGCGCGCTGGTCGGTTGGTAAGCGCAGTACGAGTGGCGTCAGCGCCGCAACCAGCCGCAGTCATAGGCGCCCCCGCCCTGCTGAGTGTTGGTCCGCAAGGTCGCGCGCTCACCTACCGACCGGTGAAACTGGAGCTTGCGGTGTCAAGAATGCTTTTACGTGTGACACGAGCCGTTACATATTACATTGATTTCGTAAGCCCATGGCATTTTTGTATAACTCGATTATAAACTTTAATATGGATTAGCACAGTTTAGTTACAACTAATGTATCATACACGTAATACGGTTTCTTAATATCACTCTACATGTCAAATCAATCTGAGCTGTCAATTGTAGGTGTACTGTTTATTCTTTCAGATGTTAAGATATAAGCTTGATTATAAAATAAAAGGCAAGTATCTGGGTGGTAAGATAGACTAGATCAAATATCGTTTGACATGTTACGACTTTTTTCTTTAGCTACGTTATTGTATAATATATTATTAAACAAGCTTATTGTCGCTATCTTAATGGCTTAACTCATATACATAGCTTATATTTTAATATTCTAAATCTTTATACAACAATAATAAATTCAAATACAAATAGACCTTATACATTATTACGGAGTACCTACATGATTATTGAATTGTTAAGAAAGTTCATTTATCCACTGAATTGTTTTTCAATTTCAATCATGTCAATAACTTTTAAAATACGTAATTAAAAAAAAACGAAGTATAAATTATATTTAAAGTCAAGCTATTAAAATCTTAATTATATTGGTGGTTTTGGTATTTAATTTCCTACGTGTAATTTGTTATAATTTAATGGTAAAATTACTTTAAAAGCCAAAAAAAATAACTGAGTCACAAATGTAACTGGATGTTTTGAACTGATATTATAGTTTTTATATTTCCTCAGTTTAATTGATGTTTGATTAATTAAATTGAGTAAAACAGAATTTTAATTTGAAATTAAATACTTACAACACAAACCAATATAAGGGAACGTACCCATACTACGCCACCCGTTTAGGGGTGGGGGAGGGGGGCGGAGTCCTTAAAATACTACGGTCAGTCACAGGAGCGGGGCTCAGATTTTAGTCACGTAATCGCTTTTTTTTAAGTAGTTGTTTTTTTTCGTAATGCTTAATTTACGTATGCATGCAGTCTACTATAAAGAAGAGTATGAAACAAATTATTTTTTTTTTCAAATTTTGCCTCTGAAATGATTAAAAATCATAATTATGAATTACCACGTAAAAACTAAAGAGGGAGGTGGGTTGTCTTGGCATGTACTACGAGTGGTCACCGAGTGGAAGGAGGGGTCGAAAAAACTAAAAAAAATAGTTAAATCTTAAAAAATATTTCAAAAACAACATAAATATACAGCATAAGCTATCTATTGTAATAACTTCACTTAAGAGGACTAACTGTGGGTTTCTGAGAGCCAAATTAGCCGACTTAGGGTCCTTCAAGAAGCGAGCTTATCACTATCTCAAAAGCCGGCAACGCATCTGCGGTTCCTCTGGTATTGCTGATGTCCATGGGCGTCATTGAACACCTCGGTGTTCCCGCTGCTCGTTTGCCCCCTTCTGTTATAAAAAAAATAAGAGCAAGAATTATTTATAATAAATATATGCTAGTTACATATACATATTGTTATATTAAAAAAAGACAAGGGAAAATATGGAGAACTGATCGCCAACCTTCGCTAGTCGGAGAGGCACCTCAAGAAAAAGAAGAAAAAAATTACTTACTAATAATAGTTTGAAATAATACAGTAGTCGACTAGTATGTTTGTTTGTAAGTATATGATTGTTCCTTTATCATAGGATATAGCATATTTTTCACAGATTATTGAGTTAACGAGACAGAGTATCATGTTGAGGTAAACAGCGTAAACGCGGTACGTGTGTAGGATTTTGTTTTACATGATTCTTGGTAGCGCCATGATCTGTCGTATCGTGTGTCAACCGGGATATTGTTTTGTTATAAAAAATACAAGTATGGTTATTTGTTCCTTAAAAATAAAGAATAAAGAATTCGTCTGAAGAGATTGATAGGGATTGATTGATAATTAAAAAAAATAGTATCTGGGTTTAATAGTAGTAAAATAAATATAATAAAATAATAGTAGTTTTCGTGTGTTGTTGTGTAAGAAGTAAGATTTAATTCATAATTAAATCTTACTTCTTACTAATGTTATAAATGCGAATGTTTAGATGGATGGACGTTTGTTTGTAGGTATCTCCTGATCGGCTTAACGGATCACGATGAAATTTGGGATAAATGTAGAACATAGCCTGGAAGAACACATAGGCTACTATATTTTTTTTAATCCGCGCGGGCAGAATCGCGGGCGATCATTTGTAATTTTTAAACAAATAAACATAATTTTGAATAAAATATAAAATTTGTTACAAGCATTTTTAACACAAGAATGTTTAATATTTCATTCCAAATATGGCATATCGTTTCCATGCGATACAATAAATATTCGGCAAACAACTATAACTAATCATTAACAAAAAATAGTTTCGCCTCAATGTAGCAGCCGTTTATATTGTCCCTGACATTACCTAATACTAACATCGTTTAAATTACATATATATGATTTTAGCGAAATGAAATCATACCAAATGTATCATTCAATGACATAATTTTACTTCGAAACTTCTTAAAAAAATACATCTTTAAATATATTTTCCAAGAATTACCTAAAGAACGAAAGACCTTAATTTTTTTTTGTATAATGACATGCCGTTGCACCAATGACCCAATGGTTAGTTAACGGATTGCCGATGAGAATGGTGGTTTCGACATCTCTACTCTACAATTGTTGCTACGATCAAACCAAAGAACATAAACTTTATCACTATTATTAGATTTCTAATACTACAAGAGTGACTTACCGTGGGTTTCTGAGATCAGAATCCCCGGTAAAAAAAATTGTTATCTCTTTTGCGTCAAAGAATGACAAGGATGACGATATGTTTTATACAGAGATTTAAGTCTCAGAAACCAACTGTTAATGTTACTGAACGCTATCAAATTAAGGACCTTTTAATTTACTTGGAAGTTTTAAGGCTTTCTATGGATGTTTTTACGTAATATTTCAATGTAAGAGGGTGATACCATGTTACTATACTATTTCTTACTAATATAAATACGAATGTTTGGATATATGGATGGATGTTTGTTTTAAGGTATCTCCAGAATGGCTGAACGGATCTCTATGAAATTTGGCATACATATAGAACATAGTCTGGAAGAACACATAGGGTACTAATTATGTTTTTTTTTTCATTCCACGCGGATGGAATTGCGGGCGATTGCTAGTTTCATATAAAGTAAAGCAACATCATATGAACTTTGATTAAATAGTAAATTATTTTACCAGTCATCGACACTCATATACGAATAATACAAATTTAAATTTGGACTACATTGTCTTGTATTGAGACATATTGTCGTCCCTCACATTATCCTTGAGGAAAACAGAGACAACAATATGATATTTTGGTAACGTGACATTGCACTTCTGAATGCCTTATCACGCTCAGTCGACGTAAAATATAGATAACGACCTAATTCATAAAGTACATTTTTTATATTGTAATTTTGTTGAAATCATTTTAGAGCAAACATGTCTTGGTTTTCGGGTAAAAAGTATAGACGGGTGAGATGTGAAAATATATTGGAATTGATAAAATCACCAAGTAAGTTTACCTCTTGTTTTGTTTAAACGCATGATTAGCAAGTTTTTTTCTCGTGCTAATTATTTATAAACAGTGATTTAAGTGCGAGCATATGTGTTTATAAAGATATGTTTTGAAAATGGGTGTAGTGACTTTATAATCTACAAATTTGACTAATAGTTTAGGGTACGGATTGCCAATAACAAGGTCATATTGTGTCTTTAAAATGAATCCAAAATAATATGTTTATAGAAAAAAATGATTTGGTATCAGTTTATTAATTTAACATTAAAAAACCTCTTTCTTTTTTCTTTTCTCTGTGGTTGCCATTACCAATTAAAAACATAATTAATAAATCGTACGGATATTTTTTAAATACGAAAAAAAAATCATGTAATATAGCATACATATAAATCTCAAAGATGTAGTCATTACGTTATTTACTCAACAAATTATTTTTATTAACAAATCCTGCAAAACAAAAATAGTTAAGCTATAACGGGGACAGTGGGTTTTAGGTAGATATCGTTGCGGCGTTTGAATGAAATTATCATGAAAGAACGTACGGAAACTATTATTACAAACACTATCTTTATATGAGCGCGCACCCGACTGATATATAATATTAAAAATCAACCAATAATTACGTTTTTTGTCGGATAATCTTTCAGTTTCGATTTCTTCTATTACTTCAATATAAATATATCGGCAGTTAACTCTATATTTTTTGTAGTAAATACAAAATAACTATATAAATATATAACACTATACACACTATACATTGTTCGCCCGCGACTCCGTCCGCGCGAAATTAAAAAACTTAGTAGCCTATGTGTTATTCGACACTAATGTATGTTCTACATCGATGCCAAATTTCATCGAGATCCGTTCAGCCTTCCAGAGATACCTTCAAACTTACATCCATCTAAACATTCTCATTTACAATATTAATAAGATTAGATACGTAACTAAAATAATCCATAGTTTTCTCAATTAAAATATACTGCGTGCAAATCACGGTGACTTTTCCTTTTAGCTAATATTACTTTTTAACGGTACGTTCTTTTGGAAGTATATATATAATTTTATTTAATAAATCTAATTAATTACAGATGCAAATGAACAAGTTATACGTTTACTGACGGACAGTCCTCCAGTTATATCGTTTACTAAGACCGGAGAAACACACATAATGCTCAAAATTATGTCAGACGACAAAAACTTTTATTTCAATTTTCCTATTGGACAAGAACACGAAATGGAAAAGAGAGATGGAAGTAAGGTATTGTGTTTTTTTTTTGTTTTTTATTGCGTGCTGTACACGACTGTTTCATCGCGGAAATAAAAAAGAAAATGCCTATGTTACTCCCGCATACATAAGTAACCTTCCAGTAAAAGACCCGTCAACATGAATCCAGCAGGTTCGGATATTACACGGAACAAAGATTTGCGAACAGACTGACAATTTTTTTTAAATATTTGATTAAGATAATACATACAGACACTCCATTTTTTTTTAACTGTACAGATATAGATATATAGATTACTATTATATTTTTCAATAAGAAAATGATGGCATAAAATTAATTATACGCCTTTAACTTTAAACTCTTTTTGCACGATAAGTTCCGATTTTGCAATTTGATGCGTTCGTCGTTTACCTAATAGTCATGGTGACGTTTGAATTTGTTATCAAAATTTAATAGAAATTGGTTGAACAATTTATTTAATAATCGTTAGTATACGTGCAAACTAACACGCGTTACACAGTGCACGAATACTATGTAGTTGTTTATTTACAAAGATTAAAAGTACAATTCAGCCAACGCATACTGCATGACTTACCAAGTCGATATTTTATTCCGCATATTCATATTTAAAGTTTATATTAAAACAAATGAGTAGCTATATCATTAAAAAAACTTTTTGTACAACAAAAGTCAATTTTTTCGCCTTCGTTCGTGGCGTTCCAAATACAGAATGTCTTGTACCTTGCAACGAACCTAACCGCCGTTGGTCAACACACGGTACATGTGTGTTACAACGATTGTCTCTATAAATGTTTTGATTTCATAAAAAAAACAACTGTCAATTACCTGCACTGTACCCCTGACTCTAGTATATGTCGGACGCTTGATTCATTTATTAACATCTCAAGGCGTACAAGACAAAACGTTTGGAGGTATTAACTTGCACCACCGTCAACGACCGCAACTGTACTTAAGCTATAATACACAGATGTATTTAGTACAATCGTACGTCGCAATATTAACGATAAAGTTATCTGGTACGATATATAAAGTTTGATTCTACCTCGAGGTCAAACTACACGAGTCTCTTGAAGGGCAATGTTTTGTTGCTGTATGTTTCGATTACTGTGACAGATTGTTGCTACTGGTTTTTTTTCAAAGAGGAATAACATTCCAGTACGTGTCAATCCATTAGGAATCCAAAACCCAAAACCTATTGGTACTACCCCAAAATATAGTAAGACACTTTTTTGTCAAACACGTGTTTACACGTTATGAACGTCAACGTGGACGTTTGACCATAAGTATGTATCAACTACACTGCTTATGGTTCTGATAGTACTTCATGATATGTTACTCAATCGCTTTTAAAAATATATCGTGGGAATCCATGTAAATAAGGACAGCTGTCGAAAATCTTTAGCTTGTTAAATTTATTTATTTTATATAATTGTCGAAATATTTTTTAATTCTGGTAAGGTTAACACGTTCGTTAAGAGAAGAGTAACAATAACTAGTACAAGTTCATGAAAATGTAATTGTTGAATAAAAAAAATTGTTAATTGAATTAATAATTTAAAAATAGAATAAATAAATTAAAAAGAAATTATCCTTACACGTGTTTCTTTCACATCTCTTTCCATCAGTAGGAGAAAGTCAAATGATTAAACATTTCTTAATTAACAGCTAATTTTATTTTAGATAACAGCTGTATACGAAATATTAAGCGATAATATTTTAAAACAAACGGTCAGGACGCCCGACGGAAAAACTGCTTATTTCACGAGAGAGTTTACAGAGACTGGTTCCAAAATGGTAAGACATTTTTATATAATTCATCACATAAATGATACTTAACTTCACAGGTATCAAAATATTCAGATTAGAGTAAATCACCGTGGGTTTCTAAGACTAAAATCACTTTATAAAACCTATAGTCATTACATTTGACAAAACAGAGATAACAATATGTTTTAAAAGGGGATTTGGTCTCAGAAACCCACAATCAGTCTGATAAAAAAAACTAAATCGCTTTAAATAATTTTGCACCTAATCCTATTCAAAGTTAGTCGTATGAACCTAATAAATCTATCTATATAAAAGAAAGTCGTGTTAGTTACACTATTTATAACTCAAGAACGGCTTTACCGATATGGTTGAAAATTGGTGCGGAGGTCAGCTTAGAGTCAGGAGACGGACATAGGATACTATTTATTCATTATTTTTCGAATTTATGCCTTGAAGAGCTGCTTTTTATTTAACTTGCTAATATTATAAATACGAATGTTTAGATGGATGTGATGTGGATGGATGGATGGGTGGGCTATACTAATTAAGTTTTTTTATATATCCACGCGGAAGGAGTCGCGGGCGACAGCTAGTTACGTATAAAAGTCAAGTGTAAATGTATAGCAATATTTTTACGCATTTTTATACATATAAAACAATATGCTTTCATTTACAACTCGTTGTAAATGATGTCTCTTTTTTATTGCGCTTGGAAACCAACTACATTTTTACAATGCAACCGCAATTTAATATATTTTACGGTCCATGTGTAGCTTACAATGCGACAATTTTACGACTTACAGGAACATAAATTAAAAATATATTGATTGTAGATCGGACCTTGCTCGGTCCAGACAAATTGCTCAGGGTGACCACACAGGACGTGAAACATAGACAAATAAATTTTGATTTCTATTCATAAAAACACAAAATATGTTTGAATTTTTTTTTAATTAAACTTAAGCTATATTCTTACAAAAATTTCTTGTAGAAATATTTTAAAATAATTACGTATTTTTTATTAAATTTCATCTGAAGTAAAATGTTTTTTTTTTATTTTGCGTCAGACTAACATTAATAAGTTAATTAATGAAAAAACAACAATTATACGACGAAAATTTGGGAATGTTACAATCCAATGTTAACCTTTTTTATCATGGTTACTGTACACTCTTAGTTTAGTTTTAAAAGGAACCTTGATATGAAAAAGGTTTAGTTTTGCGACTTAAACCTTGTTTAAAATGTCAAGACTTCCTGTTTCACGTAATTGTATTGTTTCTTGTTTTCAAACATATAAATAACATATGACGTCATTCAAAAAAATAACTGAGCAATCAACACGTTTTATGTTAACTTAAATAGACCCTTAGTGTAGATATCTCATACTTGAAAGTTTGACATAAGTATCTCAATTAATTTCATATAGAATTTTACGCAAAAGATATAATAATTTTTTTTTAAACTTTCTACGAATAAAAGTTTACATATCGTAAAGTTTAAATTATTTCTTTCTTTTCTATGGGACATAACCAAAAAGTATTGAAACTCCTTAGACACAAAATAACCCGATAAAAATATAATAATATTTAATCAATAACTGGTATGTTTGTGAAAATTCCCACGTGAGTAATTTAAATTTTTTTTGTTTTTTTTTCAGAAAGTTGAATTCGAAGGTTCAGAAACAATTGCTACAATATATTACGAAGTGGTCGACTGACAGCCGCTAATGTGTTCCATACTATCAGTATTTATACGGGAAAATTATTAATTTAGGATAAGTTTTTAATTAATTTATTGTATAAATGTAATTATATGGTATAGGAGGATTGTTATATAGGTTATAATATACAATTTTAATTAAATAATATACAGAATGGTTTATTTCATTTTAATGTAAATCTTGCGAATACATAATAAATCTACGCAAACAGTTGGTAGAATTGTTAAACTAAATGATCAACTGGACATTGCATGTAGAATATCATTGAAGTTGCTCAAAGTTCTTCTTTCTTCAAACTTTATGACGACAATTCTCATAAAACAAATAAAAAGAGGGTCTAGTAAGAAATTTCGTGAGAATGTTTTTGTAACTTCATTGACAAATGTCAAAATTTGTATGTTGCTGTACTTCACGCTGCACAAATCTATACTAATATTATAAAGCGGAAGAGTTTGTTTAAACGCGCTTATCTCAGGAACTACTTTTCCGACTTGAAAAATTCTTTTTTTGTTGTATAGTCCATTTATAGAGGAAGATTTTAGGCTCTATAACATTACGCTGAGACCAACAGTTTTTTTAATTCCGCGGACGGAGTAGCGGGCGACAGCAATTTTTTAATTAATTTTGTTGATGTCGGAAAACGTTATCACGAATATTCGTGCTAGATCCTCTGTTAATGTAGATACAGGGCGTTTCAATCTTTATTGCGGCTGATATTGAACTGATAACGAATAGTAATCGAATGGTATAATTCCTTAATCACCCTACATATTCACATTTGGCTAAGAAACAATTACTGCTCATGTACTTAGGCTGATTTTAATTTTTATATTTAAAAAAAATCAAATTTAGATTGACAAACATTATGTTCAAAGATCAAACCAAAAATTATTAATTAATTAATAACACATCGTGTTTAATCAACATCATCAGCTCTCTATACGTCCCCACCGAGGAGCTTACAGTACGTTAAGGGTGATTAGGCCATAGTCAACCACGCTGGTCAAGTGCGGGTTGGTTGACTTCACACATATCTTTGAATTTCTTCTCTGAAATTCTTCTTGATAAATGTACATGTGAAATCGGAAATCGAACAACACATTAGTACATGGCCGGATTCGAACCCAGGATTTCCAGATTGTAAGACAAATGCTTGACCCCTGAGTCACCGACGCTCTTATCGTGTATAATACACATTTTAATTATTATTAAAACATTAACACAGTTAATAAGAAGAGCCGAATTAATATCGATTAGCATATGCCACGCATACATATTACAAATAACGAACGCCCCGCCCTCTATTGTCTATGACCGTTTATTATCTCTGCCCATATCTAAAACTGCGACAAGAAGGTCATATAGGCGGTCGTGTTGCATTTTGTAGAACACATATTACACGCATTATGCGTTAGAACAAAATGCTATATAGTTAGTAGGCCTAATTTCTCTGGCCAGATGGACATAAGTAAACTTAACATAGCCCCTAATCAATGTCAAAAAAGGTTCATACGATCCTCATCGTACTGTTGCTGTTTTCATGTAGAGTTTTAAGTTTCTAAGCCTAGATACGTTTAAATATTACTTATCAGAACTTCACGCAGTTAATTCCTCTCACCGGGTCAGAAAAAAAATTCCGACTATAAAACAAAATGCTACTCTATATTGTCTTATAGCACAGATTAACAATGTATTTGTCAACGTCAATAATTTTTGACGTTTGATTTATACTGCCAGTTAGAAATTTTGAAGTAAAATTAAAGTTGATTTAATAATATTGTTCGTGTGTTATAAATAAATTATTTATTGCTTTTAGTACAGCTTTAAGTACTTAACGCAGTATGAAAGAAATAGTTTGGTCTGGACCTTGGATAAGGGTGTGTCCAATAGACTTGAAATTTACGTTAATATGTTTTCGTAGACAAGCCCTAATGGCGGTTATCTAAAACTTTGCCAGAAAAAGTTAAACCCATGACAATATCTACGCCCAGATAATTTAATCAACCAGCAAAAACATATTTTATTTTATAAGTAACTTTGTGTGTAATAATATAGATTTTATTCATTTTTTTTAATAAATAAAACACTTAAAGTGGCCGAAAGTGAACGTGGCCTTTGATTAATTTGATTACAAGAATTTATTGCATTAATTTTAAAAAAGTTTTCACATGTAACATTCGATTTAAAGTATCAAACTCGACGAACTTGTAACACATTGATATTTGATCTAGTTATCTACGTAACCTTTACCTAGGTTCCAATAAAAACTTGTGTGCGGCGATCTTTGGGGGAGGCCTATGCCCAGCAGTGGGCGACTTACGGCTGAGAAAGAAAGAAAAGAAATGACTTTATTAGATATAAAAAAATGTAAATTACAATAAGACTACTAATGCGAAAAATATTAAGTAATTTGACGTAGTGAATCTTTTGTGTAAAGTTCACCTTAACCAATGTAAGTTGTCTACTGAAATAAAAAAGTTCTACAATTGCTTGTTGTAGAACTGGACGACAAAAAATACATATTACGTATACACATCATCTGGCTAGGCTGAGATAATTCACGTGAGGTCTTTTTTTTATATCACAAGGTGGCAAACGAGCGAGCGGCCACCTGAAATCGCTGAAATAGCGAAGTGACCGTTGCCCATAGACATACGCAATTGCATATGCGTTGCCAAACTTTAAAAGGTCGACGCACAAGATTTACCAAGGTAATCGTTTTGACTTTATTTTTAACCCTACTTAGCGTATATTCTTCTTCTCTGCCTCTCTGACTAACGAAGGTTGGCGATCAGTACTCCATATTTTCCCTTGTCTCTTGCGAGGGGAAATAGTTGGGCGGCACTCGCAACCCCTGTCCACTCTCGGATGTTGCGCAACCAGGACTTTTTTCTGCGACCAACACTCCTTTTACCAGGAACTTTTCCCATCAAGATGAGTTGAATCAGTTGAAGTATTTAAGATGAAGGTCCACTCAGCTGAAGTTTGCGCTGCCTCGGTAAGCGAATCCAGAACTACGCAAAACAGAAAGGGACTAAGTACAGAGCCTTGGTGCACGCCTTCTGTGACCGCTATCGGTTTCGTCTCACCCACCACAGTCCGCACCATAGATCGCGCAATTGCATAATTGCCCTTATCTAAAATCTTTTTATGTATGTTCTTAGCAAAATATATGTATACTGTTTTATAAATGTAATTCATACAACATTATTAAAATGTCTGTTAACTAACCTTTTCATATGTCGTTAAAATAAAAAGACAAACTTTATGTCCAGTTATCGAGTTATCATTCAAAGAAGTACAAGATCAATGTAGGTCATGACACATTACCTTTTGGGGAGCGCAGCGTAGTGACACATCAAATGAAGGCTTCGTACGTCTCACGAAAGGCACACCCCACTAATAATCTTTATGTTCTGCCTAGTTAATAATAGTGCGGTGAATACTCTGTTATTATCTATGGTCTTATTATATGTATAGATGTAATTAGTTTGTCTATGGATTATTGTCTTGCTATTAAGTTGCGAAACAAATAGTTATTATCTGCGATGACAATATGTTTTTTGTGTACCGGCAGTGAAAACCTGCGCTTATATAACATCAATATAGGCAAAATAATCTCACCTACATTTTTTCTGTACGCGCCTTAAGAAACGTAACGTGTAAAAATCTTGTATGTTCGTTTCTCTTACTGTATAACATTGTCGCAATAGTTAACCTATTACCGAGTTAAAGTTGTATTTAACCAGTGTAAACAACTTTAAATGCTAAATACCTAATTAATTTGCGTTTACGCATAGAATTATCTTTGCAAAGGGCTATACATAGTATAGTGTTATCCAAACGTTATGGGGTCTCGAAATCACGAATAAAACGCTACACAATTACTGTCCACATTTAATGTCAGCGGGACGTATAAAGCACATCCCCGCGAGTGCTTACCGCTACCAGTAGTGGGCTGAGACTTTCCTTCGGAGGTAATTACGAGCCTTTATTAAGTTTGAATCTTATAATACATAAACGAATCTAACCGTTTACAAAATTCAGATTTTAGATAATGATAAAAACGTCTCAGGAAATCTTATTCTTCATTGATAACACAAAATCGCATTGAATTTTTATTATACGTCTAATGCAGAAGCCATTTTAAATATCATCGTAAATTATTCTTAACATAAATTAGTTATTATTGATTTATTTAATATTTTATGTTGCAATCCTGTCATAAACAATATCGCATAAGCTCAGTTCAAATGCATTTGGAATGTACGAGGAAGCTCGAAAGCCTTGGCAATTTCGTAATCTGATAAAATGTTAAAAGCTATAATATCTTAATCTTTGTTATATTATGATTTATATTATAATTTTTTACAATTTTTCATATTTTATGTGTGATCCAAATATTAGTGGATCACGGTAATAGACGAAAAGAATTATTTTTCTAACTGTACATGAAATTTTTGCGTTCATAAAGGAATAGTTTCTCCGTAGTGGTAGAGTTTGGAACAGCTTTCGCTAAACAATTGACGACCAAACAATAGCCAGAATTCAAATAGAAGTCCCGCGTTTCATCTGATAAATGTGATGTCACTATTATCTTTCTAAGTTTAGATAAATGAATGGATGTTTGTTTGAATGTATCTCCAAAACGGCTGAACGGATCTCGATGAAATTTGTAATTAATATAGAACATTGTCTGGAAGAACACACAGGCTACTAATTATGTTTTTTTTTAAATTCCCCGCGGACGTATTCGCAGACAACTAGTCCAAAATAAATCACAAATCAACCAAAAGTTTTTTTTTCTTTCAAAGAATCTTTTCGGTTACCGGACATAGAATAATAAATAGGAGGCGCTTTGTAAATCGCCTTAATATCAAGGTAGTCTTGTCACAAAATTCCAATGGTGTTATATATTTTATTCTATTTAAAACATTATCTTGGCCATTACCAAATCTCGACCAGCTATTGTTACGTCGGTCCATTATTTACACGCGTGGGCGACGTATCGAAGTTTGTTTGTTTGGTGACTAATACATTCATATATTGATGTAATGTAATTTTTATTCTACAACGACCTTGAATGACCCTCACAATAAATATTTGAAAGTCGCACCAATTAAATATAAAGTATGTTGTAGA